TGAAAAATTTTCAGGAAAAATATTTTTGGTATGATATTTTGATACATGTTCATATAATCGATTGCTTAAGAAATGTGATAACTTTAAGTAGTATAGTATTATCAAATTAATGAGGATCATTCCAAGTCAATTACTTTCACGCATTTCTGCATTCTTAAGAGGTATATATTGCAGTTATATTAAATAGAATAAATTTCAGTGGGTAAAGTTTAATACCTTTGCAATGACACCAATTGTTGTGATATTTGATTTCTTAAAGTCATTGTCTTTAAATGTTTATCAGTTTGGAAAAGATCAGATACAGTCATATGCTGCTGTTTTTATTTAAAATGATTGAAGTCTAGTGTTGTCCTCCGTACATTCTTCAGACAGAGTTAGATTTTTACATCCTTGATCTTAGTTTTGTAAACAAATTTGTCCTAACAACATCTCGGAAGAGATTTAGCCTGCTTCCAGTGGCCCCAAAACAACAATGACAACATCCTTAGGTTTTCCCATTCTGTGGAAACTGCCCTAGGAATCTTTTACAGTCAATTTCCCTCTAAGGCTGTTGGGTAAAGAGGGCAGGGGAAAGAGCATGGCAGGGTCTTTAGCCAAGGCTGTCCATCTCCATCATGATGGGACTCACTGGAGCTCTCAATAATTCTAAAAATTCCACACGTATTCTCTTAAGAAGGACACATTTCTCATGGACAGCTAGCTTTCTGAATCAGAAGCTAATGATACCCTCAACCTACTTGCCTTTTTTTGCAGATATGTGTGACACAAAGTACAAATAATTTCTGCTGAATTGAACCTCTAATGAAGGAATTTATAATCAGTTCTAATGTATTTGAGACCTAAAGTATATTAGACCTTCATCAAAGGGAATGATAAAAAGCAGCTTTAATGTGGGTGGATAGTAATTATTTCGGTGCTCATAATTATTCTGCAGTTAACTACAGAGAAATGCTGATATTTTTATTCCTTTTTCAAAATATAAAAGGTACTGTGGTCAGATTCTGAAATGTAAGAATGCATCATGCATCTTTTGAATTATACTTATGTTAATGGCAAAGGAACTATTTTGGGTTTAACTGAGTTCAAAGTTCGTGGTTAGGAGTTCCTGTACCTTTCTTAGTCCTGTTGTTTCACCACTGAATCTATTTATTGGCTTTGGGAGATATAAAATATAGTAATTACTCTCACTTCGTTTCAAAAAGACATGCGATCTGCTTTCTTATTAACTCTAATAAGAGTTATGAGTGAGTTCCTCGAGGAGGACAGACCCTATGGAGTTTCAATATAGAATAAATCACTTCCACACTCAGGTTTTAGAGGACTCATTTCCTTTATGCTTTGGTGATTTAAGATGTCCATTTAAACTGCTGGTTTTGAAGATGCACTATTTGTAGTCTAAAAGAAGCATAAGCTGTGGGTTGGAGTGTTGATAATGATTGTTATTTATGATGAACGGTAAATGTTTTGCTCTTTGAGGAAATCATGGTGATCAACTTGCTGGAATGCATAGTCTCTAAATAGTGGTTGCCTATATTTGTTAGAAAATTAATGACAATTACCCCTTAAAATATTTCTACTTAAAATTTTTTAGCATCAGTAATTATATCAACAGTTAACAGATTGAAATAAAGGAAAAGTGAGACAGAGTTGCTAATATTCTAGAAAGAAGAGAGATCAAGGAAATGATTTTCTTTCCAGCCTGGGAATAATGAATCTTGAGATCGTGTAGAGATATTTCTATAATCCATAAACATATTTACTCTAGTTTCTCAGTTTGCAACACAAAACCTCTCATATTTATTCTTAGTGCCTTTAGGCACATAAGATAAAGGAAATCTGTTTTCTTTCTTTTTATAATCCTTTTTTTTTTTCTTGCTGGAAAATTATCAGCTCTTCTTCTCATGTACCCTTCAAAAAATCAGATGTGTAAAAAATTCTTGATGTTAAGAAAACCCAATTGTACTTGACCCACTAAAATCTCAAATGCTACTGAAACCCATAATGTGGGAACAATTGAATATCATCCAATAAAATTTTAAATAAAACCTACTAAATAGCATTCACCACAATTTCCCTGATGGCTCTGATGGTAAAGCATCTGCTTGCAGACCCGGGATTGATCCCTGGGTCAGGAAGATTCCCTGGAGAAGGAAATGGCAACCCACTCCAGTACTCTCGCCTGGGAAGTTCCATAGACTGAGGAGGCTGGTGGGCTACAGTCCATGGGATCGCAAAGAGTCGGACACAACTGAGTGACTTCACTTTCTTTTTTCTCAGATAGTATTCAATAAATGGAATTCTTTAGTTGGGAAATTGGTTTAACCCTTCCTTTGAATAATGATGCCCTCATCTGTTCATGATGCTGAAGCAGTATCTGTATGTTTCTAACCCTTCAGATTTGCTAAGTAAAAGATGTTCCATATAGTGTATGTATGTAATCATTATCTCACATCAGTTAAGATCTTTGCAATTTTCTGAATATGAAAAGTGCTTATAAATAATGTAGCAGCCATTCCCTGTGTGGAAAAGTTCTCCCACAGAAATAGCATCACTTCCCTGGTTTATCTACTAATACAGACCCAGAGGCAAATAGCTGGGAGACATTGTGTTAATAAAAATTTTTTGCTATCTTATCTCGTGTAGACCAACAGCTAGCAATTTTGTATGTGTGTCAAGTATGTAAAACTACTGACTCTTGGATGTAGAACCTGAATGATTTCCCAAAGGAATCATGTAAATTGCCTGGGGCACCCTAAGAGGAGAAAGAAAGACATCTTCCAAGAGAGATATATAGCTGCATACTTAATGTAATTATGATAGGATTTACGTTTCTCTCCAAATATTATTAAAATAACAATTTAACAAAGAAAAATTTGAGCTCACATTAAGGGTTTCCTAATATAGCCAAGAGTTAAGTAAATTAAGTAATTTAGCTAAAATTGGAAAACAGATGTATTTTGGCATCAATAAGAAACTATCCTGTACTTTAATCTGTGTTGTTAACTAGTAAATAAAACCATAATTTTTATATGGTGTCCTTGAAAATAGAAATGCAAGAAAATATACTTGTTGAGGTTTATTAATTTATTCCTTTAGGTAATTACAGAAAAGTTAAACATTTTTCTAAGTCTAATATTTTACATGATGTAAGATATTCAATATTTCAAATATAGTTCTGATACAGTAATTTTTAAATCAAAATTAATGTTTTTCTATTTTTCAGAAATGCAGCAACATTGTTGCATGAACATCATATAATACTGAGGATACTTTCTTCATTTAAACAGGGTTATATTCAAGAAATATAGATTTCTGTGAACTTGCAAAGGAGTGCTAATTGTAAACTATTGCTTTCATCTACTTTTTCTTCTCAGTGGAATGGTTACTTGCAGGACTATGAAATTTACCATTTAATTTACTGTGTAGAGCTCCTGTGTATCGGGAATGGCCTTGAAACCATGACCTTACAATTGAGTAATCAATGGGTCCCTTCTGTTACGTCATCAGTTTCTCTATTTCCAATCTTTAGTCTTTGCCAGTTATTACTATTTCTCAAGGCTGTCCCTCTGAGCTGATAAAAACTCATATATGTCTCATTTTTTCCTTCTGTTTTCTGGGATGGTGTTTTTTATTCTGTGAAGGCTGTGATATTAAAATGTAGCTTTGAATTGCAAACAATACATGGTAATCACTGAAAAGACTTAGAAATCTTTCTCAAAATGTTTAACAGTCCCTTCCTATCAAGTGTGCTTAGAATTAATGCCTGCTTCTTTACTATTTATATTATTAAAATCAACATATGGCGTTCAGTCCTCTTTTTTTCCTTCCTTTTTCTATAACTGTTATTTTATGCATGACAAAATTCTCTTGCTTATGGTTATGTGGTTGGCTGTCTTTTAACTTGAGTGTTATGTGTTTGTAATGATTGCTTTTTGCATGAGGATTATGAAATGCCGTACAAATTAAATGGTTGTGGAAACAAAAAGAAATGGAGGGCTTCACATGCTTTTTTGTGTGCTGAATATGTCAATTATGTGATGCTTAAAATTACTTTCATATGGCCTTTGACTTCCCCTTTGGTGTCCTACTTTATTCTTAGCAAATTAATATTGTTAAGAATAATAAAACATTTATTAAACATTCACAGTATTTTAATACAATTGTTATCCTAAAACATCCCATTATAAATAACTACCCTGGGCATGAAATTGCACTTGGGCATAATTTGTTATATTTCTAAATTGATTATGAAATATAAGCCCTGACTCCATAACTACCTTAATTACAAACAGACTTCTACAGTGGTACCTTTGCTCTACCAAGTGATGAGATTATTTATTCATACATGTGTGCAAGTTGCAAAGATTTTAAATCCACGGCTACTTTTTAATCAAAACACATGGGGAAATATTTGTGTAATGACAAGTAATTTTAAAAAAAATCACAGTTTTGAAAAATGTGTGACATAAAAATGTGTAAAACCTAAGTGTTAATCCTTTTACAATAAAACAGAAGAAAAAAAAAGAAAAAAACTCTAAAAATGTTTATATCTCTGTTTTCCCTAATGGTATTATATTGTCCCAAATTAAAGAATGAGTTTGGCCTACTTTCTTTATTATTATCACCAATTCAAATTAGAAAAGACACTGAATAAGTTAAGTTCCTTCAGCTAATAAAACTGTTTACTTTTTTTGTATGATATGCAGTTGGTATTAAAAAAATCATTTCCTTTGCTTATGATGTGACTTTCAAACCATATGTATTTTTTATGCTGGATATATTCACAAGCCAAATCTGTGAGATATTTTGGGGAAAGGGAATTTTTTTTTTCTTAAATGAAATCGATAACCAACTTTAATGTAATCACTCCCCCACGCTTTTTGGAAATAATCCTTGAGAATTTTAGTATTTGCACTTATTTTTTCCCCTCAGTCTTGTTTATTCTTGAATTGTCTTTTTTTTTTTCCCCCCTCCATTTCTCCGTTCTCAATCCTAGGTCCCCTTACAAAGAAACAGACAGATGATTTAGGTGATAATGACGGTGCTGAAGATGAAGGTATTTTTCTCCACCCAATCTATTTGCATGACAAGAGCCTCAATCACTTTTTCCACCCTTTTCTATTTTTTTACTTCTTGTCTTTTTTTGAAGAGTTGTTTTTAATTCCCACTTTTGATGTGTTTTGTCTTCTTGCTTGTTGTGACATATGAATATACATTTTTAATTTTTTAAAAAATGAATGTCAAATTTTGATTTTGATGCCAACCATTACAACGTTTTCAAAAGAGGGGCATTTTTTGTTGTTGTTGTTTTCTTGAACTGACTTTTGATATGTTTCATTCCACATTTTGACTGAAACGTGTCCATATTCTTTGAACTAACAATCTCTTCCCTGTAGTCTCTTTGTATGCATTTTGCATGTTTTCTAATCTATGTAAATATTTTACCCAATACAAAATGTTTCATTTTTAAAATTTAAAATTAATTAAAAAAAAAACACACACTCAGTAAAATGAAGGACAAGCTAAAAGCTGATATAAAGTGTTTCTTGAGCAATGTAATTCAGATTTAAAAAATACTGTTTTCTGTTTGTGTGCTTAAATATTACATCGATAATAAAATCATATGGATGTGAAAGGCATACACCTATTTAGATAATTGTAGTAAACCTTATTTAACCACTTAAGAACCCTGAGAAGATTAAATAAATATGTTTTAATATCAAAGGCACATAATTTGAAGATTGGCAAGTGAAATATTCTGAATTTCAGATTGTTGCTAACTATAAGTAATAATGTCTTTATACTGTATTAATATAAAAATTCTTTTCTCTTTCCAACTTTCTATGACTTACAATTCTGATAGACTCTGTACATGTAAGTACTCACTAGATTGATTTGAGATTTCTCATTCCATTGTGTACCTTTACCTGGTATTAAATGGAGTGTCTAGAGAGACCCATTGAGTCCTTCAGTTCATTTTGCCTCCAATTAGTTATTTGTTTTTTAATGCCACCCTCGTTATGATTCTTACAGATATGACTAATGTAATCCTAGGTTTAAAAATAATTCCCAGAACCTTGGAAATTGAATCTCTTAAAAACAATAATGTGGTAAGAAAGATTTTCCAAAACAAGATAATTCACACACAGGCCAGCAGAAATGCTAGTTTGATGAGGAACAACTATGAATGTGTTCTTACTAAACAATTGAAATTGTTTCGTTAAGATATATATATATATATTTAATAAACTACTTCAGAATAGAAAATTATAGAAACAAATTATTAAATATTTAAAAATTTTATTAGATGTTAATATTTTTATAACATTTAAGAATTATTTTGATTAAATGAAATTTATGACATTTGATTAAATATTCATTTGCCATGAATACCACCAGTGGGTTAAAGGTTAAATACAACACAGTCATTAATACTTGAAATAAGTCTTTATAGCTGCCCAAGATTGTCATTTTTAATGCTAAATAGCTAAAAATAAATTTATAATTTCAAAATACAAATTGTGATTTTTTTTTTAACCTTGTTGGAAATCTGAAGAATTAAAACATCAAAGGCATTCCTAGTGCTCTATGAAAACAGCTTCTACTTGGGGACCTTGAGATTTGTTGAACCCTCTGAAAATGCTTATATCTTGGACATTTGTTATCAGATTGCTTAGTGTGTAATTTTGTAAACTCCAAATTTTCCCCGAATACACACAATGTTTGTTTACATCATATCCCATTTTAAAAAATATTTTGATGGCTGATTTTATGTGCTGCTTTTTTTTGCTTTTGGTAAAACAGCATCATGTTTACAAGTAATACCCCTGAACAACCGTAGTGAACTAAGCCCTGTAAATGTAAATATATCTCATAGACATAATTTGAAGCACATTTAACATTTTCAAATAGCCATTAAAAATATCCTAACCCTGACAAATTGGTAGGTAATATTTAGGTTGAGTACTTAGCCAGTCATCCTATGAGTTACCAAATCAGTAAATACTTTTAAATGCTCATAAGTATAGAGTCCAAGTTCTTATTCCTCTGTGTTGTTCGGGTAATTGTTTAGAAGATAAGGATAAATTCAAATACCCTCCAGGATAAAAACCTTTGATTAATAATTGAGGTTCATCAAATGAGTAGAGGGCAAAAAATTTCTTGAAATACCTTTAAACGTATCAGGGAAAGATTTGATTCATTTGTTAAATGAATCAAATGAGTCATTTCATTTGTTAAATGCCCCCAAATTCTAAATTATGGGCAATTAAAAGCTTCATGAGTCCTTTAAGTAAAAAGAAACCAGTAAACATGTTCAAGGAGTTATGTGACTAATAATTATTCACCAGGACTGTTAAAGGGAATTATGACTTCAAACATTGGTTGTCAGGCAAAAATAAATCCCAATTGATTGCTCTAGAGCTATTGGCACTTGCTACATTGGCTTAAATTTTTTATTTATCAGAAAGATAAAATAGTTACTAAAATTTAAAATCAAGATACTTGCTCAGTTTCCAGTTTGTGTATAACTTGAAAAAATTAGTTTTTTACTGTAAAAATTTTAGAATAAAAATAATCAGCAGTGTATAGTATTTCTTCCCACTTAGTTCAAAGACCTACATGCTTAGCAAAACTTTAAGACATTGTAAATAACAGAAAATGTAAGCATACTTTAGGAATATTTGTAGTTTTACTAAACCTGAGCTAGGGTTTTAGTCTCTGAGAGTATTCTTCTGATTTTAGTTAAGGTCAGTAGCAGCTGTTCCGGCAAAGTCAGATATCTTAGGAGAAATGCACTTAATTTCTAAGGGAACATATGAGACAAAATTTAGACGGACAATATGGCTCTAATAAATTCATTATAAATTATTACATCTAATATATTTGCACTAAAGACCACGTGGCTATTCCAAATTTTATTATTAAAATGATGGCATTAGTTGATAGTATTCAATAGCAGGTTATCTGGTATATCAGTTTCATTTATAGAGTCTAGTTCTTTTTAAAATCAAAGTTTAAATATATATTTAACTATCTACCTTTATTGTTATGTTATTTTTATTATAGTTGAACAATTTACTATTTATATTTACATCAAAAAAAGACCTGTAGACTATGAAGAAAAATAAAATCTAAGATGGACCCTATGATAAAATGCTATCAAAAGTAAAGTTTTTAATGAGCCACTAAAGGTGAGCCACTCTGATAAAGCACAATCAAAAGTTAGCAATTGTTCTGTACTATAAATATGGCATTTCCCAAACTTTATTAGCAGTATTAAGAGTTTTTATGTATAAGAATGTTGCCTATGTTGGTACTTAATATACTATCTAGCATTAACTTCAAGGTTACTTCAAGCAAAAATAAATATTGTTTAGAACACAACATTAGAATTTTATAGAACTTTCTGGAAAAGAACTGCTGGACACATTCAAGTACTTAAGCAAAGTTGAAATCAATGAGAAGTTTGGAAAGACAAATTGGAAATTAAAATCAGCCCAATCAATCAGTAATCCTTTCAAGTCTAATTTTCAAAGAAAACTAGAGAGATGCCACTTAGAATCCCTCCTAGAATTTACTGTCGTATTTTCAGTGTATCCTGGCACGGTGTACTCCATTCTACTATGTTAGGTGTATAAGATGTGGCAGGTCTTCTCAATGTGTGCCTGTATCGTTTTCCAGGTGAACAGAATGGTTCTACCAAGATTTCATTACTGTTCACAGTTGCTGCTTTGTAATTCTATGTAATTTTAATTAAAGAAGAATTCTGAAACAGCCTCCCGCTGTGCTACCTCCAAGCATACAATTAGCAAAGTACAGTGTCTGCTGTGAATAGTCAGTTAATGATTTCAGTTTAATAATTTATTATTGCTTCTTCAGTGCCAGCCATACTAGAAAAATAAGCTAAAACTGTATGCAGTGAACAGACATTTAAGGAGGAGAGTTTGACAATTTCAGAAGTGTTTCTTTCTTTAAGCCTAACATCTCTATGAGTCCCCCAAGTCTTACAAATGAGTGAATATAATTTTCCCTCTCACAGATTTAAGGAGAAAATACATTTAGGTTTTTTCACTAAATGTAGGGTGTGTCTAGTAGATGGTTTTTATGTCAAAGTATCCTCCTCTCACCACTTAAAAATAAGACACTTCTCAAGTACACATTTGTGTGGAGAAGGACTGAGTATGATAAACTCTCACTGATATTAGATATTAAGTCAAATTTAAACTAGACCCTTAAAAATGTTTCTAAATTCTGCAATTAGCTATTTCTCCAAGTTGAAAATCTGGACAAACAAGTTGAGCTACAATTCCTGATTTTAAAATGATTTTCATTGAAAAAAATTATTATTACCGTAGAAAAATCTACACAATTTCTACTAGTCATCTTTTTTTAAAAACAACAATGTAAAGCAGCCTTTAAATTATCACTAGTTTTTTCAATGAGTTCGTATCATATTAGTCTATTCTGAAAGCTGAAACCTCAATTGTTATGATGTAGGGGATTTGTTTGATAAAATATATCAAAAGCAAAGAAACAAAGCCATGCCTTTAAATGACACTTTATTACTATTAACATTAAAAAAGGAAGATTACACACTTGGTGTGTAAGAGATCATGGGCTATTATATAATAGCGTTTCAAGTATGTACATATTCATAATCATACAGATACATGTACACATATAATATTTCAATTTATATAACAGTTGAAACCTTGTTAACCAATATGGGATCAGATGGTAAAGAGTCTGCCTACAATGCAGGAGACCTGAGTTTGATCCCTTGGTCAAGAAGATCCCGGAGAAGAAAATGGCAACCCACTCCAGTATTCTTGCCTGAAAAATCACATGGACGAAGGAGCTTGGCTTGCTACAGTCCATTGGTCAGACATGGTTGAGTGACTTCACTTCCAATGTTAACCACTATAGAGTTTAGCATTTTTTGTCTCTAGAAATTAGTGCATTTTTTACCATTTAAAATTATCCAGTGTTTCCCTTATATATTATTTCTAGACCCTGTTGAAAGCTACATAATCATGGTAAAGTATCTTAGAAAAGCAAATACATTTGATTAAAATTTAGAACTGTAGAAATCACTTCAACATCACTCTAAATTTTAGAATTGTTCGCTTAAACTTAGCTGTATTTTCTCTTATGTCTACATGACAAAATCATAGAGCCAAAAAAAAAAAAAATCATAGAGCCAAAATGTCAGTCAATTTTCTTCTTTCAAAGGATAAGGGTAATTTGAATGAACAGATGACCTGAATGGAACTGAAAAATATCACTTGAATGAAAGTCTCCTAAATGCAACAAAGATAAAAATATAGATTTTTGCACTCTATTGCCTATAATTCATCTGATAGTACTTGAATAGTTAAATGATACTTCTTTCAAATTCCGTAAAATAATGCTATAATTATGTTCTCAAATTGGAGCATAAGTTATTCAATGTAATTATGATGCATTCATTATGAATCTTTACAATAATTAAGATGGGGAAAAGAGTATTTTTTTCATAATAGCAATGATAGCATTGTCCATAGTTTTTGGCTTATAAATTGCATAGGCGGTCTAAACAATTGTTAAAAGAAGTTTTAAGAATCATTATCATTCTATTATTTCTTTTAATTCTGTCACATCAAAGATCAATTAAAAATAGCACTGAAATTCACACCTACTTGCAATTATTCCAAATTTTGTAATTCAGTTTTATAATATTTAATAGAATTTTAGAAAGAAAACAACATATCTATTGCTTTTTTCAGCAATAGATCTTAATACAAGTTGCTTAAGAAACACTTTAATGAAGACAACAATTTAAAGAACTATGTTAAAATCATGACCTCTTGTTTCTAAAATGGAAAATATATTCTGTGCTTCATTATGCATGTAGAGGATAAGAACAGTTGCCAATCATTTGTTTTTCAGATATTCGGGACAGTGGGGGTCCCAAACCAGTGATGGTATATATCCATGGTGGCTCATATATGGAAGGGACTGGAAATTTATATGATGGGAGTGTCTTGGCAAGTTATGGCAATGTGATCGTCATCACAGTCAACTATCGACTTGGGGTACTCGGTAAGAAGTTTCTTTTTTTTTTTCAACATCATTCCGTGAATATGTGATAATTTTGTTTTGACTTGTTTTGTTTTGCTTTGCTTCCTTTCACTCATTGTTCTATGTTTGCTGACTTTGAAGCAAAATTTTTTATATTTTCAATAAATTCTGTAAATATTCATAAATTACTTGACAAAAGACAGCTAGGATTAGTTTTGATATTTAATGATAAAAGGTAATGAAATTATTCACATTGTTGAGGAATGCTCTTCTTAGCTTGGCTATATAGAAATGTGAAAAGCAGCAATGGCAGGGCCTTTCTTAAGAAGAATTAGTCTCTGGGCAGATTTTTCTCTCTTCTGCATTTCTTTTTTACAATGCTATAAAATTGGCTGAGGTTTGCCAGAAACGTAGAAACTAGTTTATATTCTCTTCAAGAATATGTGTATGGACTAGCTTTGGGAAATGATTGCCTTTGCTGTGCAGGTTTGTTTGTTTTTAGCTTATCACATGTAATTAGAATTATTTTGTTTAGATATTTATTGAATTATTTGATTTGCAAAACATATATTGATTTCACAAAGTGTCAATGAGTTCAACAATGTATATGCTTGTGAAATAAAATCAAACTGTAGATCTTTTGTTTCTTGAAGAAAAGTATAGAGCAATATTTTTATTTAAAATAAATTATCAAGTACTCTGAAATAGGCATAAACTTGCTATTCTACTTGTATAAGTTAATTTTTTTATAGTATTGTCACAATTTGAGGAGTAAAAAAATCTGTATCATTTAATAAAACTCCTCTATCTGTGGTGTTTTAAAGATACTTGCTAAGAGTACAATTATTCCAAGAAGTTGTTTTTTAAATCTTAATTGATCAAAGTCCTATCTCTTACTAAGCACTTAGAAGTTATAATTTATGTTATTTGGGCACAAAGAGGTACTACACTCATTCTTTACTCTGAAACATTTTGAAAACAATTTTGAATTATACTTGAAAAACAAGTTTGAAAAAACATTTGAAAACAAGTTTGAATTATATTCTCCTTAACAATAATTGTTAATATCATTTCTTTTAGCCACATTGAGAATCAGTTTATTTTTCTCTTCAGTGTTAGCTATTGCTATTCTAATTCCTTCTATGTAATCATAATTCTGTGTTTATGTCAATCACAAAATATAAAAAGGAATCAATTTTGTCAATCAAGGTTTTGTGTTTGGGGGAAGGGGATGTGTTAGTAAAGCAAAGTGAGACTTGATCATTTTCTAGTATCCTGTTTTGAATTTGGAGTATGGTGGATAGTATAATAGATACACTCCAGCAATGTAGGTATAAAATATTTCTGTAGCATTGTTCAAATACACATCAGTTCAGGGACCTATCATGTGTAATCATGCATTGCTTCAGATGTTCTTATAATTTCACACATAAGGGTGAATGACCTCTTACCAATGAAAACTCTCCATGTTAGAAACTATAAAGAGATGTTAATAATAATCTTCTCAAATTACTCTTAAATATCATAGTGTTGTCATTGGCTTCTTAGACAAGATTTGAATGTGAGAATCTTCACTATCTTTAATGCATGCAACTTTAATTATGGCACTGTTTATAGCTAAGTTGTTTTTAATGTTTATTATTCTCATATTTTTCTGAATTTCTTAAATTGAAAATCTTGATGCAGTGACTAGTTTTCCAACTGAAAATTTAAAATTAGATGCCAAATTATGGTAATAGTGTTTTCAAGGACTTGAACATCTGCATAGTCATATACAGTGATTTTATTTAAAAACATCTTTTGGCCATACCTTATGTTGCCTATGATTGGTTATACTCACATGAAGATCTCATAGAGTAACCTGTGCTGTTATGCTGGTACAAGTTTTGCCCATTTTAAAAAATATATTCGGAACTGATGAAGATGTGACTGTGATCTTTGTATCCTCTTTAAATGCGTATTCTAAATGATTGGATTTCAGGACAAAATATTCATCAGTTAAAAAATAAAGAACTTGATCTGTATAATGGCAGGCAGTGTTGGGATTGATGATGGATGATTTTTCCAGGGTTAAATATTTGCTCTGTCTCTGCTACACTTAGGATTTAAATTTTAGTGGGCTCCTTTGTTTCTCTAAGAGACATCACACACTAATGTTTATCTGCCCTTTATAGATCTCCTCTCAATCTGATAAAGTCCTAACCTTTGTTAGTGAAACATTTTTAGGGGCGTTTTGGAACCTTAGCTCTAGAACTGATGTTTTCTAGTCACTTCCTAAAATATGTGTTGAGTCTTAGAAAAAGCATTTAAGTGAATTAATTCATGAAGAATAAATTATCAAGACATTTGTTTCAGCACACTTTGCATGTGTATTATACCACAACCAGATCAACAGCTGATCTACCAGGGGAACTTCAACAGTAAAAACTGTAGGGTTTTAATTGTTGCTAATACTTCGTCTGACAGTAACAAGGTCAGCCAAGTTTTCTTGGGTGTGGGATCCAATGCTATTTAGTTGGCTCTTGGGAGAGTGTTGGACTTTAAGTAGAAAATAAGATTTGATCCCATGTCAGAGAATATCCTGAGCTGTGTTTTGATTTGAATGTTTTGGTGTTATAGAAATGAATGAGACTTGATATCAGGTGATTGACAAAAAATATCAAGATACCTGAAACAGGTAATGTAATTAGTTTTGCTTCGAATTTGCTATCCCAGAGGAAAACTATTACAAGTTTGTTTTAGCAATAAGAAAAAAGTGATAATGTTTCAGTCAAAAATTTCATACAGATATCTAGCAGCCAAGTTCGCAGTTTAAAGTATTTTATATTAAAAAAAATATTTTGTTTGTTGCAAAGTAGAATTAGCACAGAAGGAAAAAAAATACCTCCAATGATAGCATTGTTTCCTACCAAGACCCTGTCCTGGCTTCCTTTGAAGTGGTAATTGCAGACTCTCTCTATCATTGCATTGAAAATGCTATATTGGTGGTGATAAGAAAACTGTAATAAGGTTGAAGAAAATAAAAGCCTAGAGTATAGAGGATTCTGCCTGCTAACCTACTTCCTCAGGTTCTCTTAAAGTTCAGTGTCCCTTTCTTTTAGTATAAATTTATTTAGTTGTATGTGTTCTTTGTCCACATTTTAACTCTTTGTCCTCTGTTATCTAATACATAAAATATAAATTGCTCTTTAAAATGTTTTTAAAATAATTATTAAGAGAGTTATTTTTAGTATTCTATCAATAGTATATGGTTAAAAATCAGAATAAAAATTATAATGTTGGAAACAGTGAGAAATGCTTTGGTTAAGTGGTCTTAAGAGAGGAAAACAGTTTTAAATTTTGATTTTACATAGGGTAAGTATATGTACTTATGGATAAGCATTGAAAGAGAATATGAAATAAATTCTTCTGTATTAAGAGGAGATATGCAATAAACATTTTTGAAAATAGAAACCATCCAAATATATTTTCAAATCTTAAAAGTGGAAGCATACATTAACTAATTTAGTGTTAAAATTGTGTTTCAGCCCCCTCTCTAAATTTAGAATAAATTTGTTGTTTTTTAGAGAAAAAATATTTAAAAATTATCTCTGTGGAGATCTTAGACAAACATAAGATTTTTATTTGATGGAAATTTAATGATAGTTTTATTTTGATATGGATATTTTAGAGGCAATTATGCATTCATAATTCAAACACATGTGATTTATTTTAGAAAAAATTCTCTTAAATATGTCAGAGGTACTGATAATTCTGGACATTTGACAACTTCTTAGTAAAGGGTCTAATTAAATATTTTGCTTAGTAATCTAATGTCTCTACTACCCATCTATGGGAAAAATAAGTGCTAGTTCATTTACCAGCTCTGTTTGAAGAATTACAGTTAGCTAACTTTATAATGTCATGTAAGGCTAAGCCAATTAAAACAAACATAACATTACTGAATATAAATTTTAATGAACACCTAAATTGATATTTATTCTATAGTTGTGAGACCTGTTAATTCTTATAAGTATAATGTCTATTCAATAATAATCCTTCAAGCATTATGAGAGAAATGAAAGAAATAAATATAAATTTGGAGTTGTCAGTCATCAAATATATAACACTTGTTTCTAGCACTGTATGTCTTCTAAGACGTATAAATGTAAGAATGGTACAATCCTTACCTTTAAAGACTTTTCAATCTAATTGAGGGAGGAAATAGGCAATCAATAAAGAATATTGATATTCTTCAGATTCTATAATATCTATTTATTAATTACTTTGTATGTACATGGTCACTTGATATATAAAAAATCAGATCAACAAAGAAAGAAAACATAGAACATCAGATGGATCAACATAATACAGTGATGAGATTCTTATTTGAATCTGAGAAGTTTAGCAGATTTGGTAAAGTTTAGGTAATGATCATGATTTAAAAAGAAAAACATATTCATTTAAGTGACTCAATGTTTTGTCATTATTTTTTGCATTTTTAAAATTTGTTTGGCTCTGAAGCCTGAAAGAAATAAACTCTAAACATGACCTTATATTTGATATATATATATATTTATAATATAATCAAATATTTATATTATGATACTAATACCGCACTGTCATCCAAATGTGTTATTAGTAAGTGGAAGAGGAAATCAGTCTGTCCTTGAAGAGTCAAAGGTGTTTTCATGGACTTGGTAGTATTTGAGCAAAACCGTGAAGGATGTGATTAAATGAAGAGAGAAGGACATTCTTTTTATTTGTATTTGTTTATACTCTTTCTGCTTCAAAAAATTGGAAGTGATTTGTGACAAACACACACATTAACATAGGTTGATAGGACCATATTGAATATGAATGCATATATTATAGAGAAAAGATTCAGACATTAGGCTTTGAAAATATACTGGAATTGAACATAAATATATATCCCAGTTTCTTAGAGGCAAAGTAAAAAGGATAATGGATTGAATCTCATAATTGTTATTATGAGATGAAGAAAACATGTATATCAGAAAAATACACAGAAGTTTTTTTCA